GATCCAAAAAAATTGAAAATAGCCAAAGAAGAATTTCAATTCATGCTAGGCAACGGGATTATTAGATCTTCAAAATCGCCCTGGGCAAGTCCCTTACATATGGTTAAAAAGAAGGATGGGTCTTACAGACCATGTGGAGATTATAGAAGACTAAACGACCAAACAATACGAGACCGATATCCAATACCAAGAATCGAAGATTTCCATCATATTTTGAAAGACGCCAAAGTATTTTCTAAATTCGATTTATTTAAAGCTTATTATCAACTTCCTATAAATGAAGAAGAAAAGCAAAAAACTGCAATAATTACCCCTTTCGGACTCTTTGAATTCAACGTTATGAGTTTCGGCCTCAGAAATGCACCTTCAACGTTTCAACGCTTCATAAATGAAGTTCTGTGTGGACTTGATTTCGTTTTTCCTTATCTAGACAATATATTAGTGGCATCTCGAAACAAAGAAGAGCATCAATCTCATTTAAAACAACTTTTTGATAAATTAGATAAATATGGCCTCAGAATCAATATCTCCAAGTCAGTCATTGCTGTGGAGAAATTGGAGTTTTTGGGATATGAAATCAGTTCGGAAGGATCTAAGCCCCTTTCCCAAAAAGTAGAAGCAATCCATAATTACAAGTTGCCAGAAACTATACGTGAACTGAGAACTTTTCCTGGTCTAATAAACTATTATAGACGATACATCAAAGACGCTGCTAAAACACAAGCAATTCTCCACGAATATTTGAAAGGAGCTCATAAAAATGACGAAAGAAAAATAATGTGGACTGAACAAGCTATTGACATGTTTGAAAAATGCAAACAAGACTTATCCAATGTAGCCTTGCTAACATATCCGAAGTTTGAATTACCTCTATGCCTTTGCTCAGATGCTTCAGATTTCGCAATCGGATCTGTATTGGAACAATACGAAAATGGTGCTTGGAAGCCGATAGCTTTCTATTCAAAAAAAATTAAATGATGCACAGAAATCATATAGTACCTACGACAGAGAATTATTAGGGATATATCTTTCTCTAAAGCATTTCAAACATCTATTAGAAGGTCGAGAATTTACTATATTTACAGACCATAAGCCACTGGTTTTTGCCTTCAAACAAAAAAATGAAAAAGCATCTCCAAGACAAAATAGACATCTCCAGTACATATCCCAGTTTTCGACTAACCTTCAACACATTATTGGCAAAAATAATATCGTCGCAGACGCGTTATCCCGAATTCAAGAAGTAACTAGTGTAGATTATGAGAAAATTGCTGATGATCAAAGTAGTGATGAAGAATTAAAACAACTAATGCAATCAGACACAACCTTAAAATTTAAACAACAACCACTGCAGTCTGGTAAATTTCTATGGTGTGATTAGACCATATGTACCTAAAAATTCAAGAATGATTATTTTCAAGCAGATACATGGCTGCTTGAAAATAATCATTCTTGATTATTTTCAAGATCTCATCCAGGAATCAGTTTATCTCATCCAGGAATCAGATCAACTATCAAACAGATAGCGTCAAGATTTATTTGGCCTGGAATTCGAAAAGATGTTCGAATTTGGGCACAATCCTGTATTGATTGCCAAAAAAAACAAAATTTAAAAACATACTAAATCCCAGTTTGGAGAATATCAACAACCCGATGAAAGATTTAACGAGATACATATTGACCTAATTGGACCGTTACCCCCATCCAATGGAAACAAATACTGTTTGACTTGTATTGACCGTTTTACAAGCTGGATAGAAGTAGTTCCTATACCTGATATCAAAGCTGAAACAGTCGCTAGATGTTTCTATGAAAATTGGATAGTTAGATTTGGAGTGCCATACAGAGTAATTACCGATAGAGGATCACAGTTCGATTCTGAAACGTTTAAATCTCTTACCAACTTATGTGGAGTAAAAATCAACAGAACAACTGCATATCATCCTCAGTGCAATGGCAAAATTGAACGTCAACATCGTACATTGAAAACTGCAATAAAGGCACACAACTCTATTAAATGGTCTGAAACTCTTCTTACTGTCTTACTTGGTCTCAGAGCTGCTCTACGCGATGACACCAACTATTCAATATCTCAGATGGTTTATGGTAAATGCATTAAACTTCCCGGTGAATTTTTTGATAACTCAAAAGTGACAACATCCACGGAAAACTTTATTAGCAATCTTCAAAATCAAATGGAAACATTAAAACCTTTAGAGTCAAAATATTTCAAAAGGAACAAAGTATTTGTGCACAAAGATTTAAGTTCATGTTCACATGTTTTTATGCGGATTGATAGAGTCAGGAAGCCATTAGAGTCTCCTTATCAAGGACCCTATAAAGTGATGGATAAGTCAGAAAAGTATTTTGTAATTAGTTATAAAGGAAAAAACGTAAGCATTTCAATAGACAGGCTTAAACCAGCTTATCTACTGAATTCTGAAAATGAGAATCCAGATTACGATGAAAACCTAAAAGCTGCAAAACCTAACGAATGTTTAACATCAAATAAATTACAAGAAAATGCAGCCAATTCCGAGCAAAATGTTAAAATGTCTAGATTTGGCAGAAAAATAAAAAAGCCTGTTCGCTTTTTAGAACAAAACTGTATTAATTAGATACATATACATTTATTTTATATATATATTTTTTATTGCATTGAAACTAGAATGGTATAATTTGTATATATGTTATATTAATATCTTGTATATATGTTTTCGTATTATGATGAGTCATTATGTAGTATAATTTTTGAACTGTATATATGCTGTTATATTATCATTATATGACAAATTTGACATACTTGCCTAGCATCGAAACTTAGTTACTGGTGAGGGAGTATTGTAGGAACATCATATGTCACATGTCTATTCATATTATTTTTATGAGAGTTGCGAATGGCAACAGATCAAAAAATAATTAAAAAAATGAGTGTTCTAAAAAGTGTCTGCTGATCATTAATCCTGTATTCCTGTTACGTACAAAGTCTACACAAACAGATCGTAGCTCTAATTTTGAGATCTTTCGTTTAAAAAGCGTTTATGTAGTGTTCTATGTTTGGTACTTGAAAAAAATTTAACCGATATATTTTTATAAAAAGTTTTTATTGTGAAATTTTTTCTTTAAATTAGAACATGCAAGCTAAAATATTTCCATATTTTACGCATGCGAGAAAAAAGGTTATTTTAAGTACTTCGTTTATTGCAGAGTTAGTCAGAATAGAACAAACGTTATTTTATATAGAATATTATTAAAGAAAAATACCAAAAGAAAATTTTAATCATCGGCATAATCAATAACACCACAGTAGATGTAGGCCGACACCTTAAACTTTATGTAGAATATCGAACTTTCAGTAGACTTCAAAATATACGATAAAATTACTCCCAATGTGAACATTAGGGTGAAACGAAGAAATTAATTTAGGATAGTCTTTTCCCAGTAGCGGCTGTAACCCCATTTTCAAACAGTAACCTTATTTTCAAAAGTGTATCCTAATTTTTTAAACTTTATTTTAAATCGGTCGACCCATCAATTAATTTAAATTATAGGAAAAAAAAAATTTTTTTTTAATCAATTTTCCATTGCTTCATTCGGTGACTTCTCAGGAATTATTATTGTCAATTTCTCTAAATTTGCTGTTTGTTCCGAAAAAGGTCGATAATTTAAAAATTTCATTTCAGAAAAAGAGAAAGAGAGAGAGAACTGTACGAGTTGCTTCGTTCTGCTCCGGATACAACCAATTTACTGTCCCAAAATTTCGAAACTAATGTTCGTCAAAAGAGGGGTTTCATACAGAAAAACTTGCAAAACAATGTTTTCTAATGTCAGACAATTTCAACTAAATTATTGGGCCAGAGACCTATGTCAATTTTGTCCTCAGTTGTTGTTGCAAATGATTATTGTTTTAAATAAATTGTTACATTTTTGTCTCCATTAGCAGTACCATCTATTAACAGAATTCGTGCCTAATAATATTTCTAAGACGTGGAGAGAATAAATTTCAATTTCAGTAAACAGAATGAATTAAATTTTAACAGAATTACATTTCCGTCTCTTTCCGTTTCTTTTTAATTGATTTTTGAAAACTTTGGACATTTTGGAACACGCGGTACGAAATTAGTTTGCGATATTTCCCTGAACAAAATATCGATGTTCGATTGTTATTTTATTTGAAATATCGATCGGCTAAATATAAAAACATTTTGATATTTTGCACATCTTAAAAAAATTCTAACTACTAATAAAGTGATCGTGAAATTCTGTGAGATATCGGCTAAGGATCCAAGTGCTTCATGCATTGGCACATAGGAGAAATTTTAACTCTGCCACTTAAATTATGACCTGCTTTCCATGTTTACGAAATACAATTTATAACTTAACAAGTCCCGCAGTGGACTGATCGTCAAGACACGGTTCCCAGCAGATCACCGAAGTCAAGCATCACTGGCTGCGGTCAGTGTGAGGGTGGGTGACCACTTGGATCAGTCTGCGTTGGGACTGAGAGTGTGCGGTATTGGTCCTCGTTAAACTGTGCTACCGTAAAGTGATCGACTTCGCTTGAGGTCGTCGGGTTACCGAAGCGGGTGTGCCATCCCCTCCGCAGAGGATCAAAATTGCGATGGCATGTCTTCGAATCATCCTCTGGGATGTTTCCCAGACAGTCGCCAATAGCCCATTGTGCAGCTCTAGTGCGACGTAAATCAACAACACCAACAATAACTTAACAATTAAAAACAAAACAAATCACTGAAAAAATCGTGACAAAATCGCAACAAATCGTTAATAAAAAAACAACAACTATACACTAGAAATAATAAGCAAATTTATGTATATTCTTGTTGTGGAAATTCCATTTTCATTACAAAAAAAAGCACAGAGGGGAAATCTGACCGCTTGAAATGTTCATGTTTTATATTCATTCAATCACACGTGATATATGACGTCATCTTCAATTACCCTAAAGAGCAGCGGTTAGTAAATCATTATATAGCCGGGCAGAAATAAACCGTTAAAACAGCCTATTGTTTTGTGTGCTATGTGGGCATCGGTGGGCATTTTAAATAATGTAAAATATTAAGTAATAGAATCATGCATCTATTAAGCATTTAAGGAATTTAATGCCTAATTTTTAGGAAGAGATAAATTTAATTCTTTAAAATAATGAATGTGTAAGAAAGTATTAGAATTTTCTCTTTGATTGCTATCAGATAGATGAGTTATATGAATAACAAAGCATCAAATCACCACGAGAAACTTACGTGTAAAGTAAAATAAAACATTTGATCTGAAAAACTGCTGAAAATATTTAAATATTTCAGTACAGTATGTTTGAGAATATGTTAAGAAATAAACGTGAGTTAAATGAACATTTAAATTTTCAAACTAAAGAAAAACATTTGTACACTGTGTGCGATAAAGTATTCTCATATGAAGATTCTTTAAAACGACATTCTTGTGCTCATGTTGAAAGCATAATTCTTTTATGTAATATATGTGGAGAAAATTTTTCGGATGAAAGTAAATTAGGTCAACATTCTAAGATTCATAGTAGAAAGAAATCATATTCATGCAGTATATGTAGTAAAACTTTTAATGACAAAGTGGCATTAAACCAGTACTCTCTTCTCCATAACGAGTAGTACTTTTCTTGTGGTGCATGTGGGGAAACCTTTAAGCAAAAAGCTCAATTAGAACAGCATTTAAATGCTGTTTCAGAGGAGATATATGTTTGCAATATGTGTGATGAAATATTTGATTCTAAAGAAAACTTAGATAAACATTATGTTCTCCTTGCTGGAAAAAATCTTTATTCGTGTAGTTTGTGCAATAAAGCATTTAAAGATCTACCTAGTTTATCTAGGCATAATTATATGCATACTGGGGTGAAATTGTTTTCTTGTGATGTATGTAAAAAAGCTTTCATTCAAAAAGCTACCTTAGATAGACATTATGTGATTCACTCTAGGAAAACTTATTCTGATAGTACCTGTGATAAATCTTTTATTGGTAAGAAAAATTCAGTGGCACGTTCTATTTGTGATATGCCTTTTTCCTGTAGTGTTTGTGATAAGAATTTTGTTAAGGAAGAAAAATTAAATCAACGCTATATTCATACAGAGAAGCTTTTTTCTTGTAGTGTATGTTGTAAAACATTTGCTGATAGTCATAGTTTAAAAGTCCATTCTAATGCTCATGCTAAAGAAAAAGTTAAAAGGGGTTTAAAGATTCATTCTCTTATTCATACTGATGAAAAACAATTTTCCTGTAGTATCTGTAATAAGACTTTTATGACAAAATTGAGATTGCAGGATCATTTTCGTACTCATACTGTTGAAAAGCCTTTTTCTTGTAATATCTGTACTAAGAATTTTTATCAAAATTATGATTTAAAAGAACACATTGCTGTTGTTCATTCTAGAAATCCAAATTTTTGTAATGCATGTGGTAAAACATTTTCTAGTTATCAGCGTTTACAACACCATTTTTTGACTCATGCTAAAGAAAAGCCTTACAAATGCAAAATATGTGGTAGAACATTTTTTAATAGTCAGATTTTTAAAAACCATTACTTCACTCATGCTGGAGTAAACCCTTACAAATGCAATTTGTGTGACGAAGCTTATACAGATAAATCGAACCTAAGGAGACATTATCTTCTTCATAATAAAGAAAAACCTTTTTATTGCAATGTTTGTAAAATGACTTTTGTTGCAAAGAAAAATTTGCAAAGGCACTATCTCTGTCATACTGGTGCAAAACCTTTTTCCTGTATTCTGTGTCACAAAGCTTTTGCTGATAAGGGAGCTTTAAGAAGACATATTCATATTCATACTGGTGAAATGCCTTATTCTTGTAGCGTTTGTAATAGGGCTTTTACTCATAAGAGTTACGTAACTAAGCATAGTGTTATTCACAAGAAGAGCAAGATTCCTGAACATAGACCAAACTTTAAAAAAAAGCCATTCTTAATCTTGCATATTAGAATATTTGTATTAGAACATTATTAGATATATATTATATATCAAATATATATCTGAATATTTGTATTGAATCTTGTTTGTTAAAATATGTATTATTCTAAAGCAGGGTTCCTTCTAGGCGGTTGCCACATTTGACCTTTGAATAAAAAATTGTGCCCTGCCTGCCTATGAATCTGAATATGCTCCCCAACATATTAATAGGTAAAATAATGGGCTGTTCACACCAATTTTTTGTTGAATCCACATGTTTTTCTGATCAATTTTTTTGGGCAGAAAAAAATTGTGTTTTGTCCATAATTAATTAGTTTTTTTTCCTCCGACCATTTCCCTATGGTTTTTCAAATTCTGATATATTTAATACTTAATTATGAAATCCATATTTTGAACTTGAGCTATCACTTTTTTGAAGTGTTCGATTTGTGACACTGCCATCGTAATTTCAGGTCGTTTGACGATAACTTTTTCGTAATTATTATTTATTTTTTTTAAATTTCGTATTTTTTTCCTTCTAGTCATGTTAACACTGTTTTTGATAATGTTGCTATCTTAATCTAAAGATTATCGCTTTAGAAATACCCTCCAATTGTTAACTAAAGTGAAGAACTAGTAAATCACAGCGCAAAAAAGAGAAAAGATGACATTCTTCATAATCCTCATAGATTATTTTTGACCTTTCTTGCCATCTTGACTAGGTTTGCCAACTTTGTGTCCAGAGAACGGAAATTGTAATGTTATTTCTATATAAGACAAATCTCTGTCAACGTTCTGTATATTGCTATCTTTCTCTCTGTTTACCCTTTAGGATTATGCAGAGAGGAGTTATTCACTTATTGTGGTACACAGGTATTTCTCACATTCTAAGCGTAAAATGTTAGCGATTAAGTAAATGATAAAAGATAGGCCAAATAGTCATTTAAAGTAAAAAATAATTTTTTTAGAATATTCTTATCACTGGTTAAGTATGAAATTTCATAAAAAAACCCTTCTATATTAGCTTTAAAGTTACATTGTTTCTTAAAAATATTCATTTTTACTGAGTTTTAAATGCTATTTTTTTTTTTTTCTTCACGACCATTTGTCATTAATATTATCGAATTAACAATGTATTTTTCTTAACTCTAGAAATGTCAATCTTCGTTTAAAAAAAAATAGTGAACTACGTTACTTAAGAATTTATTCAGTTGCATGTTATTTGTAAGATAATAAAGTATTAAGTTGAGAATTTCATTAAAATTAAACAAGGCAATCACTATTAATAAAAAAAATGTATTAAATGTAGAGCTGAGATTATTTTAATTCACAAAATTAGTTTTTATATAAAAGAAGATTAAAAAAATTATATAGTGAAATAAATAAAACAGTTTATCTTCCTGAGATTTCAATGTTTTCAAAGATATTTATGATTTTAAATTTGTGACATTTTAATAACCGGTTAATTTTAAGTACCAACACATACTCATTGAATATCTTCACTGCTTGATGAAATATTTATTATTATTTTCATTAGTTTACTATTATTTTTTTATTGCAAAAAATTCAAGATTATATTTTCTGTTAATATCAGTACATTGAGATGATTTAATTGTTCAATACCTATAAGTTGTTACCTATAAAGCATTCTTATTGTGATGTTCTTAAAAATAAACTATTGTTTGAGTTCAAAAGGCAAGCATCAATGATTTTATTCATTTGTAAAAAATAAGGGCATTTTAATTAGAACAATAATTGTTTTTTATTGTTTCCAATTTTAGACTTAAACCATAATGTAAGCTTTTTATTTATTTATTATGATTCCTTGTTTTTTTAGCTTAAATTTATTTGTCAAGGTTGAAACCTTTAACTAAACTATATTGAAGCATCAAAACTTGAAGTTATGGAAATAAGAAAAAGTCTAGGTTTTTTAATGTATTTTTTACATTTAATGATGTAATATTTATTTATTTAAGAAAAATAGTTTTGATCAAATTCTATTTTTTGAAGTTTAATGAATAATGTTCAATACCTGAATATTCCCTAGTTAATGTTAGAAAGCATTTGTTATTGAAAAAATGCATCATAATTTAAAACTGCTATGTTATCGAAGGGATAACTTATTCACTCTTTTGCTATGACATAGATGTAAGTGCTGCCAACTACTACGCTTTTGCAAATTATTTTATAGAGTGGTAGACAATCAAAAACTGAAACTTTCAGAATTTTTGGCAATTTTGCTACCATTTTGAAAGCCTTGTTAGGTGAGAGGTGTAGCAAAGTGACTTTTCATGTAAACTTTTAAATCATTTACATGTAGTGGTATTGAAAATAACTTTAAATCAAATTCATAAAACAAAGAATCATGCATTAAAACATAAACTTATCTACCACAAGAAGGAATTTTTCCAAAATGCCTAGATAGCTGGCAGTAGTGAATTTACATAAATTAGAGGTCTAAATACATAATTCAATCGTTTTAATGAAAAATTTTAACTAAATTTTATCAATATAGCTATTTCTAATGGACTAAATATTAAATTTAGTCTATTAGAAATTGCTATTTTGATTTTAGCTGAATCATTGTTAAATATATGTATTCTTCAAAGAATAATTGAATTTTATTATATATACGTTTTTAATTTTCTATTTTTATAATTTTAGCCTTTTAATACCTTTGTTCTGTAAGTGAAATATAATTTTATGCAAAATGTTGGTGTGAACCGCATAACATTTTCTAACTTTTGTACCAGAACCAAGTAATAACAGTAAAAGAGTTATAATCTATGTATTAAATTCAATACTCATTCAGATTGTAAGTAAAAAAGATGCATATCAAAATTTTTAATTTTATAAATTTGGTCTAGTGAATACAATTCTATGTAACAATTTTTAATTGAAATCTTGGGTTGCAGAGATGTGATTAAGACCCAACTCATTAAAATAAAATAATTTAAAAGCTAAAACTCAACAAGAGTGGCTAAGCCAATGTTTTTTACGCCAATGTTAGGTGATGTTACATTACATTACATAATGTAATGTAAGTCAAAGTTACATGAGGCATTAGTGCATTATTATTTACTGATAAGAGGCTTTGGGAGAGATATTTGATGGATTACGAGGTAACTCAGCATTGTGAGTGTAATGATAAGTTTATTGTCGCTTTCAAAAATGTGTTAATTGAAACAAATGTATGAATTTCTGATGTGTATTTTCCATTTTGTAATATGCTAATGAATCGCTAGATAAAATTCCCGCAAGTGCTATTATTTCTTATTGAACATATCTCACTTTTTCATCTTTCAGTTCCGTAAAAGAATGATATGTTTTACTTAAATAGATTACCTCTAATGCTAGATTACTTCTAATTATGCATAAAACTTACTTCTTAAGTCTAAAACAAATGTGTATAAAATATGAAAAAAATATGGTGCTCACAGTTTTTAATGAGCTAAAAGTCTTAGTATAGGAATTGGGCTTGAATAAGCATAGTATTATACACACTGAAGAGCAAGATTCCTGAGCATAAACCAAACTGAAAAAGGCCATTCTTAATCTTGTATATTACAATATTTGTATTAGAATATTATTAGATATATATTATGTATCAGAATATTTGTTTTGAATCTTGTTTGTTAAAAAATTAGTATTATTCTAAATCAGGGTTCATTCCAGGTGGGGTGCCCTGTTTGCCCTTTGAATAAAAGATTCCGCCCTGCCCTCATTTCACGATAATTTTTTTTAAAGCTGTCGTTTTTCAGTTTTTTTCACGTGGACTTTCAATATTTTTAATACAATCATTTTACGATGTGCGAATTTCAATTTGCGTTATCACTATTTGATAAATTTTAATTCATGACAATTCTATCGCAATTTTGAGGGCGTTTGATGATGGCTTTTACAGACCTCATTTGAGTCACCCTGGGTAATTTCTGGTCAAAAAGCATAAACATTCAATTATTACAAAATCTATTTAAGCTAGAGTTACAAATTTTGGCATGGAGTAAGCACATTGTGATGTCCATCATATAGAATATTTATTTTATCAATAATGTACAAGTAATTAGAGTAATTATAGTTTGCAATAATAGGCAAAATAACAATGCATAAATGATACAAAAATTAAAGTTGCTGAAAACTTAAAATAAAATGTAAAAATTTGTTTAACTGAATTTTTACCGCAACATTTTTTTGTGTAAATTTTGATTTTTTTTTTTATCAAATGGGATCCTAATTCATTAAATTTTTACTAATAAAAAGGAAAAATTGAACATTTTACCTTAAGTAAGTATAATTGCACTAATTTTACAATGAGTTATTATTTCATAAGAACTTTTAATTGCGATACTTTTATGAACTCATGATACTTCTAATTGCAACAAGTGAAAAGATTAAGCTTAAAATTATAGATTATAAAAACCATTTTTTGAAATTATGATGTATTTTGCTTGAGATATACAAACACCCTTAACCATGCCCTATAAACTACTGCAGTATTTTCACAATTGTTACAAAAGTTAGTTATAAAATATGAAGTAATAGATTTGAAGTAATAAACTATCATTATTTGTAGAGTTCCTTTTGTTTGACTATAAAAATATCCCAACATTGTCTAAAAAGTGAGTATCTAAATATATAAATTTTAAACTATGCTTTGTCATTGCCAAGCAAATCTTCGAATAGATGAACTTTTAGCATTTAGTGATATAGGTAATGTGAGCATTGAAAAATCTAGAACTGGCGTGTTTGTATTCTTGAGGTGACATGAACCACCAGTCAAAAAATATTGTGCTTTCGACAACCAATACAGAATGTGTGGTTGTCTAGTGAAGCCACCAAAGAAATTGCCTTGTTGGTTTGTTTATTTTGGGAGCTTAGTGCCTTCCTAATTTATTATTTTTTTGTGGTATGTGCCATTGTAATTAAACCTTTAAAAAAAGGCATAATTTTCATACAAACTTAAAACAAAAAGAAGTCAGGCATCATTTCGTTTGCATTATTGCAGACTTTATGTGAAATGTCCTGATTTCCAGCATTTGGAAAAATTTGATTCATGATTTTGTGGTTTCATCATTAAATATTTTGTGAAAGATCTTTCCACCTGAAAAATAATAAATATCTAATTTTACAAATAATAAATATTACAAGTTTTTTTTTTTTTTTTAACTTGTAGAAGTATTCTCTTTTTCTGTAGTCCAAATTTCAGATGAGATTATAAAAGTGAAAATAGTTCCAGCAGTTTGATTATAGAAGGAAGGCAAGCAATTTTATTGATTGTGGCCCAACAAGGACACTACATAGCAAATTTTGAGGAAAACTTCTCCAGCGGAGAGCTTGAACTTATACATGGTCCAGGTGCTCCATGTTTGAATAAGCTTTGTATAGAATATTTGATGAATTTCATGTCTGTAATTGATACATCAATGTTTTATAATTGTATGCCTTTCATATGTTGTGTTTTAATTGCTTAAACATTATGCTTCTAGGGAATCATTTGAGTGCTGAAAAGTACCAAAAGATTTATCCTTGAGACTGGTATGTGGGCTTATATTCTATTGATGATGGGACTTCAGCAAAAAAGCAAACGAAAGGTGGATGGGTCAGTAGTGGCACTTCGTATGCCAACTTCCCCTTGCTGTCTATTATCTCTGCTTTCATCTCATACTACAGTTAGCTTGTTCCTCGTGTACCTGTCCAACCTCCTCAGTTATTGATTTGTGTGTCTTGTTCAGCTCTTTCTGGTAAGCTTTTTTACTTTAGTAATTTAGCACTTTTTCTTCTGTAATTATTTGGCATGAATTTAATGTTTCAAGTACCTTAATGCATTCTATTAATATACACTATATATAGAAATAATATATCCCCTTTATTAGAATTGAATTAAATTGGCATTTTATTATTTATATTTTATTATTTGTATTTTATAATTAGTATAAGATTTCTTTTGGTTTTAGTTTCATTATAATTAATTCATATAATAATTATTCATATAATAATTAATGTATGTATGCTCTTTTCTCTTGCATTAAGTTTATATATATCTTGATATATGTAATCATTCTAATTTCAGTGTAATTCAGTCAGTTTCTCAAAGTAATTTAAATGTTTTTCCCTAATAAACATCAGGAATTCTCATTAAAATTTGTTATTAACTAATAATTGTTGTATTTAAATATTTGGTGTAAATATTGTAGTAACCATATGCTCACTTAACTACTTCTATTCAAAAGCAACTGAGACATAAGTCTCGGTAATATTATATTTTCCATGCATGCAAAAATATTATGATCCAGATAGTTATAAGTAAAACATTGATTTTATAATAAGATTCTTTTAAATCCTAAGAAATGTCCTCTAATTAAGGTTTTTAAAAATATGGTTTGTCTTTTCTGCTGAATATTTTAATGACATCATGCATAATTTTTTTTATTTATTTATCCCTAAAACATTATGCTGTCTTTGTCTAGTATCAGTGTTAGTTTTTAACAATTTCAGAAGGCAGATCCTGTGAGGCACATATTGTGTAAACTTTACAAATTAATTAAGAAACAAACTGTCAGTGTCCAAGACATATTTATAACGTTGCTTCAAATAAAATAATTTAATGGTAAAAAAGTTAGTTGATGAAATTTTATAGTACATTCTTCAAATTAGCAATAAACATCGTTTCGTTTGCAAGAACAAACAAATTTTCGATGAAATGTGATTGTTCGGTCTTAAGCGAAACGCTATCTGTTGTAATTGTTTCGAGCTAGTCAGTTGCTCTTGAACTCTTGTTTGAGCCAGTCGTGGCTACCATTGCAATAGTGTAATGATTTTGGTTTGATTATTTACAATTGTTAAATAAAGTATTGTTTGTTAAACTTCTAGTATTCAATGAACCAGCGCATTGTGTACAATCGTGTACTATGACATCTATGAGATATTGTTTTACTTATATTCATAATAAATTCCTTGTAATAACAATAATTACAATAATGAATAAGAGTATTTGTTTTATAATAAATATTAATTATTTGAAAATATAGAAAACATTAAAATTAAAGAGTTCTTTGGTAGAAGATGAATAGATCAAAAGACTGCATATGCAGAATGCTCAAAAATCGAGAAAAGTACACATGTTTTTCAAAATTCTATAATTTCATCCAAAAAAATCAAATCGATCTGAAAATTTGAGGGCTTACATAGAACGGTTCAAATAACTATTTTCCATTAACAGAAAGTACAAAAAAAAATTTTTTGCAAGTTTGGCAAGTGTTCAAACTTATCAAATGTTTTAACCATAAGAACAACCCATGATGAAAAGCTGGATTCAGTTCACAAAAAAATAAAGTATTGCAATTTGATCATATGTAACTAACTGTAGAGGGTTCACCTTAGAACATATAAAATTTTCATGCAATTTGAATGATTTCTCGCAGTTCTATGAACATTTGAATTTAGACCTTTTCTTCGTAGATTTCAAAATTTTTGCAAACTTTTGACTGGTAGTGTATATTTTGTGTTTTCAACCAAGAATGAAAGTTTTCAATATTTTGATGGATTTTGTTATTTTAATAAGCTTTTAGAATTAAATAAGACAGAACAAGAAAAAAAATTTTTAAGAGTAACAGTTAAATAATATAAAATATACTAAATAGGGCTTTAGTTGAATTATTTTCGCGATGGCTGTAACTAAGGCAACAGCAATAGCGAAATATTCCCCTTTTTTTATATTGAATTGTGCATATATCTTAAATAAAATGATATTCACTTTGCTAAAATATTATTTTTTTTTTTTTCGAATTTTTTAAAATGATTAAGTGAAAAACAGCTTAAAAATGGAGAGAAAAAATTAGGTTTTATAATATTATTTGCATCACATTTTGAAAAGTAAACTATTCTCTTTATCTAATGATAAAGTTTAATCAATCACCTTTTTTTATTTATTTAAGAATTTCACACTCAGTACTACCTTTTTATTTTATATATTTAAGTTTTCAGCATTTTAGCAACCTTTCCCCATGTTTTCAGCAAAATAAATTAAAATGCAAAGTCAATGATAAGTTTAAGTATAAGGATCTTGTATTCCTACTACCAAAAAGAGATTAGTACAATAATTTAGACATTGACAATCATTATTATATTAGATTAAAGAATTACCATTAGGACATTATTTTAAATGAAATTAGAAGTTAAAATGCATTGTCTCGATTTTTCACTTTTTTATTTTTATTTATCATTTAAATTGCACTATTAAATCCTTATTTCTTTATAGGTTAAATATATA